TTTACCTATTCCTGATCTATTTATAAATTATTAAACCAAGAATAATATTAAAATTATAAAATAAAATCATGATTGACATCATGCGTTAAGTAAGTTCGATATTTTATGGTTTCTATAAATATATGAAGTTATCACTTTTGTCGAGCGTCCCGTGACGCACACCATTTTTTTTTCCTGTACTTCACTTACGTGAACATTTTGTAAATTGCCTTTTAATGGGCTTTTCGTGCGAAAAATGCTCGTATCGACTAGCTGGAAACCTGATTTAATTATAATTACCATTTTTCAGTAAACAAAAACCTCCCAACTTGTCACACAATGCAGTTAAAAAAAGAGAGATTTTCCATTTCTCATAATACAGGTTATAACCCGCACAACCTCAAAACTTAAAATAAAATCCGGTAGATGGGGCGAGCGCTTCGCGCCAAAGATATTTACCTAGCGTATAGACAAATATTCTGGCTAATGTTCAAACTCATTTGTATATTTACCTCTGTCCACATTTATGGCATATATACTTTTTCTCCACTGGAATACCCAGATGGTGGCGTTTTGTGTGCTTCCTAACATCATAAGATTCGACGAAAGACTTACTACAAATTCTACATTTATGTGATTTAACCATCATATGAGTTTTAATATGACGTTTTAATAATTGCACCGCTAAAAACACATATTTCCAACAGTTAGTAATGATCAGTTGCAACTTTTACAAATACTTACAACTAAATACTTTCTTGCAAACATTGCACGTATTTAGATTATCATGAATCGATTGGTGAACTGCAACATCTTGTTTGTGTTCAAACTTAATTTTACAAATGTGACACAAAAATCTGAAAATAGTAATAATCTGAATGCAGCAAACATTTTTTTGTTCAAAATCTGACAATCGTAGAATGTTGTTTAGTATTAAGTTAAAGACATTAATTGAAAGGATTCAGATGTGATTGTTCAGAGGTGATAAAGCCCGCCAAAGCGTCAATATAATTTTAAGAAAAATCAACAAACTTAGATCGTGAGCGTGCCGAAATGTGACCGGTGGCAAAAATATTGAGAACAATCAAAAAACGTAATAGTGAGGTTAACGATTGCAGTAAACAGCGTTGTCGTTAATTATTAACTGCCATAGTAATTCATGTGTGGTTTTTACATTTAACTTGAGACATCTCAATATCTCGAATAATTAGCACTTTACGAAAAAATGTTTAGTATCAAAGTTGTATCATTCCGCGGGGGAAATACATTGTGCCACTTTTTATTTCAGATTGAGATTCTGCGGCTAAAAACACGTAAAATTTGTCTAAAACAATTTTTTCATTCACGACAGATGGCGCTATAAACGAGAAAATTTGCCCACTGCATTGCGCCACTGCGGCGGGCACCCCGAACTATGACTACGTTGAAGCAGCGTAGGAGAAATAGTGGGGATCGTGGGCTATCAGTGCAGTGAAATTGAACATGCGCAGTGTTTGCCGCATGGGTGGCGATTTATCTGCTCCTTTACATTACCGGTTAGGCCTGTAGTGCTTTGCATGAGTTTTCTGACAAGCGCAGTTCAGGCAGAGATGCCAGGTCTACCAATTTTTTGGTAGATCTACCGATTTGTCAAGGAACCTACCGATCTACCGATACCATGCAGATTTCTACCGAAAAGTAACAAATAAAAGTTGAAAAAATTTCCGTGGATTACTTAAAATAATATAACATATTTCCATTCATGATCAAAGTACGTTGGTAATAGCAGACATTTTATTTTCGCACACCTCGTACTTTAGAGTTCTTTTTCAAACATAAAATGAATCAAGCCCGCCATATAGATCATTAATATGATAAAATTATGTTTTATGTCAAGTTCCTTACAATCTATTTCTGATTTTGCAATGATATTTCCAAATTTAATAAATGATAGTGAATTACAAGGTCTGGACACAGAATGACGTCTGTTGCGAAATGTTGAAGAAATTTAAAAAAATTCTGGAAATATTGAAGTTTGGAATACATGAATGTATTCATGTATTCATTGTAGGGAAATCGTGTTGTGTCGAAAGTGAGAATAATTTATCTAAAACATTTTCTTCGATTGTGACCTTTGAAGTGAACCTTATTTACTTACTTACCCAAACTTACCCTTATTTTTGATACTGAATAGGATAAAATTATCAAAAATGGGGGGTTTCTATTTGGAAAATTGATTTTGGGCGGTTTTCTCCACGTCATTTTGAAACTTATTTTTTCAACACTTTGTATTAGTAGTTATCAATTTTTTTTTTGGAAATTCCATTAAAGTAAGGCCTTTTCAACAAGCAATGCGTCTCAAATTAAGTAGAACATATTCTCTTATAGGCGAAATAAATAATTATTCGAGTGGCTGCCTCTGTCGTTTTTTAGATAAAATTTCAAAAATATCCAAAACGGTTATACGTATAAGATATTATACATGAAATATATTTAGAATTTGGAGTATAATTCAAAAAATGTAATAATATATAGGGCGATCCATTTAAAATAAGCTAGTTGATACCTACTTCCGGTATAACCGGAAGTGTGACCATCTTGAAAATATTTTAGATCGCTTGCTCCCAATGACTTTGGCACACTGTGCAATTTTCAAATTTCTCCTAATTACAATTTGTTAGATAACGACCGGGGCGGTTCCCGGTGGGACACCCTGTATAACACAAGTATATTGAAGACTACATTTGCAGCGAAGAAAATTTAGCTAAAATGTGCTAACTCTTAACTTACGTGCACTGTGAATATTCTTTCTTTGAATCATTGTCTGGACTTTGAGGAAGGATAATCTCTTCGCAGTTTAGATGGGATAAATCTGATTTCTCCGTGATTTCATGTTCATATTCTCCATCTACTTCCCTGGTTAAATTTTGCTCTAAAGATATATTAATGATATGTTGGACTGAGTTCGAATTTAGACGTATTTCCTTATTATTAAACTTAGTATTACCTAAAAGACAGTCAGCATCTTTTAAGAGAGTGTCTTCCAGATCCGTATATTCTATTTCAGATTCATTTCCTGTATTTCCTGTATTCAATGCATTAATTGTAAGCGTTTCATGTTGCTCTTTTAGGGACTCAAAATATAATTGTGAAGAAATGCACAATTGTTTCAGCTGATAGCTTTGGATAAGAAGATTGTGGCAAAAAGGACATATTTTTCGCAGCAAGTCATCATTATCATTAACCTAAAACAAAACAACTTTGTAGTTGGACAATTAGGGCCCTCACAGACTTTGCCATTTTTACACTGTTTTGAACGTACGTACGTAGAGTACGTTTATATGGCGTTAAATAACGTTTAAAATGGCACGATAAGATCGAAGTCTGTGAGCTAATTTAGAAAACGTATATAACATTCCACATAAAACATACAGATGGCATAAACGAACAATGAGCTATGCTTAAGTCCGAAATAGTCTATTACAATATCAATATTCTATTTTTTGTGATTTGTCCTACTAAATTATCCATCATCATTTTAACTGGATTTGGTAAATGTCGATTTTCCAAATMCAGAAGTTGTAYATAGCAGAGGWACAAGTATTGGAAATAATTGCAGCGGAGCCTTCCAAGGGTTTCCAASWGCKTTRCWMAGCAACTGACAMTTYCTCATGCACCAACTARMTRCCCAGGAAGGGYTATWTKCMTMYCACGTATSTMAKWTMCKCACAGCACAAGAACACATTARAWCAATGGCTTACTGAGCAYMKKTRAAGAGACGGTAWMGAAACAAAATGTCAGGTTTTTTTTCAAAACTAAATTTASWTTRATTAAKCCCAATTAGATAGCGGAATATTGTTTSGYACTTTTCGAAAGTTACTTKMARKTCGSGSTAAATTGGGGGGAATTTCCRTTAYCTGAAAAACTTCTTCTGGATCTTGAACTAAGKYSAGGTRTAAYAATTAATTTRCTATGTAMWGGATAAAGTGCCTMATTATGAAGCTGTAGSTGCATGAATATCCCTTAATACGTGCTACAATTTCTTTGAATGATATTATTTGGTAACTWTGMTAMAWTTCAGGTGAARAAAGGGCRAATAGAAAYATGTGTGTTTACTGTCACCCGGATAGAAAAATTGGGGAAAAACAGTGCGATGAATCTCAGATAAMAATATAACTGGAGAAGACTGTAARGTTTCTTTAGAAAWACTTAGGRTACAAGATTTTCTTCTTATCAAATTTCCTCTGAAAAGGCATGCCAAATCTGAAAACTGCAAAACATCTTYCTTAAGATTAAAACCAATGSGAWAATMWGACYCACTTTGTTTTTTCCGRATRSTCCAGACGAAAGCGAAATTGAATACTGGCAAACATCAAAAAGCTGAGTCAAGGCTTCCAGAAGGAGACATTTTGAAYTTTACAACTTAGGTGATATGATTTAATTTTCCCATTAGTTTAAACCGAATCTCGTTTCAAATAGMARATTCGATGCGCTTTCGACTCTGTTTTCTWACAGTTTATTRAAATTATTATTSGAAWTWCSACATAAWTGTTACCATTCCTCTTTGTCAGCAAAARGGAGAAAAGCCATAATCTATGTTTATATTCAGAGAATTCGACTCGTAATTTTAAGTCGCTGATCTAAGCATAAATGGTTAAGCTCAACCCATGATACAATGAATACAAGGTAGGATCTTGCGYCGATTTGCGTGACGTCAGTGGAAATCACTGCCGGGCGTGCTTTTTTCCTGTCTRCTAAATGTGATTAAATATAGCTTATTTAGTCTTTGTCRCATTTAACTATTTTTTCATAAATCTTCCTTATAATTACAAGATGCTTTGCAGCCGATTTTAGACTTGAAAATTACAAGTAACGAAAATGTATTTATTTTGTAGACTAGCACAGTTGCCAGTTGTGCAATAAAGTATAGCGTTAGCTGAAAATGTATCCTTGCAGAAATAGTACATTACGATTCAAGAGACGG